AGATGCAGAGGGGGGGTGGGGAAGAGAGTTCTTGGCTGGCAGATAATTTGTCCTACACTCTGCAGGGATCTCTGAGAGCCTGAGGAGAAATACGACACAAATAAAATAAATGTATTAGTGAACTGAGAGAGAAAGTGAACACAACATATCTATTAAGTGAGAGTGAGTGAGTGAGTGAGGAAATATGAGAGTGGAGGAGGGAGAATATGGGTCTTTGTTGACATAATATTTAACAGTATGAGTGAATGAATTTATGAATGGCGTAGATCACAGCCTCAGGTGGAAGTAAAATGAGCTTTAAATGAACCTTGTCACTTAATGAAATATTCAATATTATTCTTTATTTGTTTGATCTTTCCTAGATGCGATATGATGTTACTTTTATAATGTTCATTTTTATGAATGTGTAAATAATTTTGTGCTCCTGTAAAACATTGAGCAATAATTTATAATGCAAGTGTTAATGTGTGCTACTGTATAATACTTATAATGCCTTCCTTATTGTAGTCTTTGATATAATAAATGTAATATTTTACATGTCAGAGAAGTGTTCATAAACTATATATAATAAAAAGAATAAAAATTACGTTTTAAAATATTCTTATTATTATTTGTCCTATTTTGCACTTTACTTGAGGGGGTTTTGTCCAAGGGTTTGTCCTGGGGTTGTCCGGACCCCTACCACCACACACCTAGCGCACCACCACACAAGAACCCAGTACAACCCCGTATACACATTACGACGAGTCCAACAACTATAGTGTGAACCATCTGCTTCAGGTTGCCCAGCCACTAACATGAAAGGTCGGGGGTATGAGACGTAATCCGCACACACACTAGAGAGAGAGAGAGAGAGAGAGAGAGAGAGAGAGAGAGAGAGATATGTGAACTCTGGTATACACTGTAGGACTTAGGCCAGTGAAAAACAGAACTAATTATGTTGAAGAGGATATATTTACACAACCCATCGAGTGAACCCTTGTGAAACTTTGCATTAAGATGAGTTCATACGTCATCCTGAAGGCCAGCGACTCTTAGTATTCAGGAATGGCACTGATAAGAATAAGCAATGTTCTTTTCAATAAGTCGTGTTTGCCCTCTGCAGCTCGTAAGGTTTTTAGTAAGAGATCCACTTTGGAATTTCAATCTTGTGACTGGTTTAAAGATCCGTATTGTACACTTGGTTAGGGTTTTAGGTTTATTATTTAACTCTCTCTCTCTCTCTCAGCTCAAGTGTGACCAACTGAGTTTATTTTTTAAGAGTGTAAGGCGTTCATCTTCCTCAGGGGGAGGGGGGGGGGGCAAAGAAATATCCTGTATAACCAAATTTACATACCAGAACAGGATGACAGGAGTTAAGGAGTAACAAGTGGAGTGAAGTGGTTTAGGAAGAAGGAAGGAAAAAAAATAGGAAACAAGGAATGAGAAGAAGCTTTTAACCAAATATATGAACATTTTTTTCAGGAAATTTGACCTTAGAAAATATTGGGTATGGGAGAGACGTGTGGGTGTGTGTACATAAGTGTGGGTTAGTTTGTTTGTGTATGTGTAGGTTTTTACTGAAGTGCGGGCGATGTACAGTGCTGGAAATACTCTGCTACACCGGCCACTGTACTGTAAAATACATAACATTTCTGGGTAAAACATGACGCCAGAATGTCAAGGTTCACACGCTGACCTTTTGTGGGATTACATTATCTTATGCCAAAGGTGTGTTAGGGGCTAATTAACGTGGACTGATGGTCGGAATATAAGTGTGTGTGCATGTGTGTGTGTGTGTGTTGGGAGGGTGTAGGTGTGTGTGTGTGTATGGAGGAGGTCTAGATTATATGTGTACGTGTGTATAGGTGTGTGTATGTGTACGTGAGAATGTATGTGGTGGGTAATATGCAAGAGCAGTAATACGGTCAGTGGTCGTTGGTGGCGATATTTGTTGATAGTGTTGCTGCCCTGGTGTTTCTTTACATGGAGGGCAATTGTGGACCTTTAAACTCCTTTTGTGTGTGTGTTAAAAAAAAATAATAAAATAAACATTCAAATATCTAACCACTTATTTTTATATTTCAGTTTTAAGTGAAAAAATAACAGTTAAATTTGATCTTATGAATTTTGGTGACTGAATGGTGAAGACCGTGTGGGTGGTCCTGGACTTAACCCAAGTGGCCGCTGGCTCACACTCGGCGGTGGCGGAGAAAAAAAAAACTAAATTATTGGCAGGAAGATCTCGTGTGGGTTTATATTCTCAAAGGATCGTATGATGGATATTCCTCGTAACTAAAGATCTTGAGAATTCATGTATCTGATTCACTTAAAGAAAAATAAATTAAAAATTGCAGAAACTTTTGAACGATTTATACCATAATTTTATGTAGTGTTAAATGTACAGTGTGTAATTTGTGTAGTCTCTCTCTATACTTCTAACGACTAAATAATTGAGTAAACATTTGAAAACCTAGGCACAAAATGGTATATTTAAATGATCTTTACCTCACTCTACCAAAGCAAAATATTTAATGTATTTATATGAAAGAAAACACCATGGCTAAGCTAGGTATCATTGTTGTCATCACGCTTAAGAACTTGGGAGGGACGTTGAAATATTAATCATCATAATGTGTATTTTTAAGTTACCAAAAAATGGATGAAAATGAAACAACAGTCCAAAGTTATTAAAAAATTGAGGATGCGATTAAAATTCTTTCGTAATTCTAATAATGAAAACGTTTAATTGGTGGAAAAGAAAAATGACATTTACATGACAAAATAGATTTGAATTTATTGTTTGTATTGTAACCAGAAATAAAAGTCATGCGGGACTTTTGTAGAGGGGAAAACAATAGCGAATTTGTATCGGAGGTAAATTGTTTTGTCAGGTCTAACACCATCCAGGTAGCTGTTTTATATATATATATATATATATATATATATATATATATATATATATATATATATATATATATATATATATATATATATATATATATATATATTATATATATATATATATCACTGTCAAATTTGTATTGCCAAACTTTATACTGGTAACACACTTGACTTCAAACACCTTGGGCACTGGTGTGTGTGTGTGTGTGTGTGTGTGTGTGTGTGTGTGTGTGTGTGTGTTCATTCATTCATTCATTCATTCATTCTCACTGTTTAATTGTAGTGAGGCAGAACACATGACTATATAATACAACCAACCTCTTCTGTTTCACCTAATTCAGAGTAAGACCTTGCTTTCTAGTTAACATGCAGTCTCGGTACAATTTTGCCGCCATTTTATTTTACATTTTTTGTGTGTGTTTTTGTTTGGACTGGCTCGTTAGATCGGCTTATATCTCTCCAGTTAGAAGAGAAAAGGCAAAAAATCAAACACACGGACCTCAGAGGAATAATTTGTGTTGTTGCTTAAGTGAGTCATTTAGATATGTCTCACCCCCCCCTCCTCCTCCAGGATGAGCAAAAATTTAAGGTGTGGACTTTAAAGAATTTGGGCCACGAATTTAATAGGATAATTTCGTGAATATTCCGTTCTTAAGTAGGCCTATATATGGTTTTCACGAGTCACTGGTGAATTCTTGACAGTCCAGTCCAGGTAGTGTCCAGTTCCTTCACTTCTCAGGACAAAAGTTTGGATTATCTGAAGATTAGCTCCCTCCCCCCGCCAAGCTCATTTCGTCTGATGATTAAACACCCTAACAATGCCTTGGGGATGAATTAAGTTAGGGTTGGTTAGGTTAGTGTTAGCGTGGTTGGTCTTGAGGTAATATAAGCCGGTGGAACTAATCTTCAGGTGATTAAAAAGTTCCTTGATGTTTGGGTTTGTTTTGTCTCCTGAAGTAGTCCACCACACAGCCTCGTCTTACGCTGCCTCACACACACAATTACATTACCTGTGTGTGGAAGGAATTATCAAATTTGTCATAACTTTAGCGTTTAAATTAGTATATTATATACAGTATAGTTGTGATTTTAAATATATATTATAGATAATTACCGTTTAAATTAGAAAACATTAGAATTACGGTAGAAATTAATTACGAAATATATTACTGACACTTTCATTTGAATTAAAATTTATAATAATATTCCCTCATAGCGCCGCGCCCAATCACCGGTCTGCCCTCCTGTGTGTGTGTGTGACCCAGATAACATTGCATGATTGCAAGACATGTCCGTGATGAATGGGCGACACATCCTTCCGTTGTGTCACAGCTCGTCCTCCTGAGATAATACTGTAGGAATATTTGGGTCTCAATGGTCAGAGAGAAAGAGATCATCCCTTAAAACAGTAAATACTAACACAGTCGGTACAGACCATCAGTAAGTCTTCACACATTAGCCCAGGTATTGTGTTGACACTCGTAAATAATGTTCTCTTAGCTCTATTCCTGAATGAATTTCAAGGACCTGAATATCTCGGGACCTCAATTGTTTTAGGGCTGAATTGATTTCAAGAATGTAAGTTGTCCTGGAAATCTCCAGGGTCGACGACGTATATCCCTAAGACGAGTGAAGGTTTAATGCCTTTTTTTATTTTTTTATTTTTTTATTTTTTATTTTTTTATATCTCGCTCTCCTCTTCTCTCCCCGGAGATTAGCCCACCCGGGCATAGGTCACTGACCCACATTGGGGCCTGGGGGGCGAAAATGTAATAATAGTAATGATAATAATAATAATAATAATAATAATAATAATAATAATAATAATATAAAAGAACCATAAAGAAATGCAAAAATTAAAAAAAAAATCAAAAGTGAGAAACAATATATGTATGTTGTGTTGTCAATAGTAAGAGAAACAATTGAGACCCTGCAATTGTGTGTAAATGAGGCAGAAGTCAGATCAGCAACCTGGGACTTGGTCACAATTTTCATGATGCCATATGGCAGCAGGGTCTACCATTAGACAACACATTATGCTTCCAATATCTTTCCAGGCGGTAATACCTCCCTGTTTAGTAGCTGCCTACTACCTGTTAATGGCTCTTGTACCTCAGATGTCTCAAGGATGGATATATCAGGGCTCTCCTCGGGATCAGGGCCTGTGTGCCTCAGGATCAGGGTCTGGGTGCCTCAACATTAGGGTCCGGGTACCGCAAGGTCAGGGTGCCTCAGCATTAGGGTCTGGATGACTAAGGGTCTAGGTACCTCAGGTTCAGGGTCTGAGTACATCGGGATCTAGGTACCTCAGGATCAGGGCCTGGGTGCCAAAGGACCATCGTAACACTAGGTTGTCTGGGTCTATTGTGAGGGTGATTAGTATGGCGACCCCTGGAAGAAGAAGTCTTCATTTTCTAATGCCGGGGATGATGAGTCTCACTGCTCCTCCAGCCTCAAGAGACCTTTTCAGGGTCGACGAGGCGCTCCATAATGGTTTATGTGTGTTGTGATGAGCGTGAGCGACAGCCCGACCATGCTCAAGGCCCCTGCACGCTACTACACTTCAGAACAGGTTAGGCCTTGTCAAGACATGCCAGGTCACATCAGGACATTATAGGGCACAACAAAGTACTTTAGGACATATGTTTTTTTAGCTTTTATTTAAAATTTTACAGTTTACATATATATTATACAAAGATATTACATATTATTGTAGTACAGTATATTTGCCTGTAAAATATGTTGATTTTTTTTTAAACACATTTGATCACCCATTTATTATAACATATCCCAGTTTTAATAAAGGACATTCCAGGACACACCAATGTACTTCAGGACATTCCAGGACACACCAATGTACTTCGTGACATTCCAGGACACACCAAGGTACTTTAGGACATTCCAGGACACACCAATGTACTTTAGGAAATTCCAGGACACACCAATATACTTCATGACATTCCAGGACACACCAATGTACTTCAGGACATTCCAGGACACACCAATGTACTTCGTGACATTCCAGGACACACCAAGGTACTTTAGGAAATTCCAGGACACACCAATGTACTTCAGGACATTCCAGGACACACCAAGGTACTTCGTGACATTCCAGGACACACCAATGTACTTCAGGACATTCCAGGACACCAAAATATCGAGAAAATACTTCAAACATCCTTGTCTAACTCTTCTTAATATGTTATAAAGTACATCACTGCTTGAAATTAACAAAGGATTTTGTTTACAGATTAGCGGGTTTGCTGTGATCATCGTGGGGGCAGTAATAGAGGCCCACTACAGGGCTTACCTTGACTTCATCTCGTCTAGCTATGTGTCTGCCTCATCCATCCTCATCGCCGTGGGCGTCCTCATCTTTGTGGTGGGATTCTTCGGTTGCTGTGGTGCCGTCAAGGAGAACCACTGTATGGTCGTTACGGTGAGTCTCGATTGTTTTAACACATTTTTGTTGGGTATTACTTTATTTCCAGCATAATGTAAATGGTACAGATATAGACCCTCAAATACAGGCCCCTTGGGACTAAGACTGAACCATTATTGAGAATTTTCCAGTTTCCTGGGTCCTAGGTCATCTGTGTCACCCTAGGCTTATCAGTAGACTACATTAAGTTGAATATTTGTTTTACTTCTTAACCCCTTCACTACAAAGACGCCACCTTTAATATTCTATTTGGCTAATGCCAAAGGATTTTATTCAGCACAGAGGGGACCCCTTACACAAGGGGTTAAATCAAGCTGTGCAGATTAGCAGTGCCCAAGAGCCTGGACTAGGGGCCGGAAAAGTACTGTATTTCTTTTCAAATCCACGTGCCCAGTACTTGCCCGACAGACATGTAAATATTTTGAGAGGAATTCCTTACCTTTCCATACGTGTTTAACCAAGAGGTCCATCATCCAGCAAGGTAACGGGAAAGTGATGGAGGGTTGTGTGCGTGTGCTTGACCTGACACCATATCGTGATGTCACAGCTGAGCGAATTGATCCCTCCTATTTCTGTTGGTCTATGCACACAATGACCAGACCTGAAAGTCTGTGTAAAAACTCCCGCTGAATGATTGCTGTGTAAGCAAAGTTGTGTTATAAATTGAAGTGAAAACATCAACATGATAAAGAAGCAAGAATATTTGATGGGCCCTAGTGATCAGTGAGTTGATAAACACAATGTATTTTAATACAGTACTGTATTTTAAAATGTTCATTTAACTTTTTCCATTAAAGAAAAAAAAAGCAAATTTCACCCCAAAATTGTCATGGCAAGCAAGAAAAATAACCGAGCAAGAAAATTTCATAAGTCATTTGCCTGGGACAAGTAAATTTTCCACATAATTTGCTCATCCTGGGTTAAATAGAAAATATTGTAGCCTGATACAGGGTAGAAAATGTCCGGTTTTCTGAGATCTGGTTTCTAGGGTCTGTACCTGTATTTCCATTGTTCCAAAGGTGCATTTTTACTCTACTACCTGTAGAGTAACTGTTATACGAAGCAGGCAGGAGGTGGTGAGTAAAGCGAATGTTGTACAGATGGTCCATGTGCCTTAAGATTCTATTACAGTTCTTACATCATTTTATTTGTAGATAGCTTTTCCATAATACGTGCACCTCTGTATATCACTATGTACAGTATAATATTATGGTTTGAAATTATCTTTTATTTATAATTTATTTATTTTATTTTATTTTTAAATACCGCAAAAGGTACAGTACTTAAGAGTGGCATGGCTTGTACAGAACAGCCTTCAATAAAAAATCTCACCACTAGTCCTGTACAATACTGTAGTTGTTTGTCTAAAAATTGGTGGAAAACACAGCTCAGTTTTCCCTGCTGTGAAATCTTATTACTGAAAACAAATATGGCTTTTGTCAGAATGTAGTGGGATTTGTTGCAACAGTAGAATGTCATTTGATGTATTGTACAGTACATTGCTGTAAATTTTACAGCACTGTATACTTGTAGTTTATTTTATGACAAATTCAACTCATTGAGAATTTCAATTTATTTAGTTTGCTGTGTTGCTGAACATTATGTACTGTACTAGTATTTACTGTATGTTATTTCCAGTTTGCTGTGCTGCTGTGCATCATTTTCGTCATGCAGTTGGGCGTGGGCATTGCTTCTTACATCCTACGCTCAGATGTAGAGACCTTCCTGCATCAAAACATGCTCATCACTATGCGTAACTACTCAGATGAGTACCCTGGCATCTTCAAGACATGGAATGTCATTCAACATGAGGTAAGACCAGTGGCGGATTCGGGGTGGTGGTGCGGGTGGCTCTCTCGAACCCCCCTTTTCTCTCAAGACTTACCTGGCCATGGCGTGGTGCCAGTTCAGGTCAAGTGTCAACTTATGTCAAAACCAACATGCCCCCTATCAACTTGTAGACATTCCTGGCTAGTGGAATAACATGCAATTGGTCCTTTTTTTATCGGTATACATGGATTAGTCAGCGATGTCAAGTGCAGGTAATTTATCCTTGCATTAAGCCTCTAGTCAGTTGGTGTCAAATTCTTAAAATTTCAAAGGAACCACCAAACTTACAGCCACAGGGTTACTGCCACAGACAGTAAATAATATGGGGAGTGGCTTGGAAGTTAGAGTAGGTGATCACAGGTGCTGGCGCTGATGAAGATTCCCCCACACAAAGGAATTAGACATCAGCAAAATCATATATAATTAATGTATTTCAGGGTTATTATACAAGATTTTTTATTTTGCCTGTGCAGTATATCTGACCATCCACAATTTTGTATTTATTTTTTTTATCAAGATAGTCTTTCTTTCTCTGGAAGGTAAATGGTAAAATCCATTTTTTTTAAAGTTAATATTTCAATCAATCTCAATGAAGGAATGCACTGAATTTAATTACCAAATGTTTAAAATGGCAAAAGAAAATGCAAACAAGCTTAAATGGAGTGAGGTAAGTTGGGTGAGGTCATTGGGAGGACAGGTTGTCTAATCCCGAAAAAAAAAAAATCATGACCATGAGTTAGGTGTAAGGTTATGTATATATACAGTGAGTTCTGCTATAACGCGTGTTTTGATAACGCGAATTTGCTCTAACGCGATTTATGAATTCGGAACAATATTTGTATAACGCGAACGCTTGTTTGCTATAACGCGATTTTGGCTTACTATTTCTCCAATTTTGTGGTATTAACTGTGAATATGGTAAAGAAGAATATCTCCAAAAAGCGTTCTGATGATAGAATTCCCGGTGATTATCGTAAAAGAAAGGATATAACACTTGAAGAGAAGCTCGATGTTATCAACCTCAAAATCACCCTTCTCCCCCATCAAGTTACATTCATATTTTTTCAAGGTAAAGTGTTAAATTTACTGTATGATTTCATTATTAGATATGAATGTAACATTTATTTAGACTGTGCTATCCTTTGTGTTAGGCTAACTACTAAATTTTTTCGATTTCGAGTAATCTGCACCTAACGCGATTTTCTATAACACGATATTTTACAAGAACACAATTATCGCGTTATAGCAGAACTACCTGCAGTATAAAACCTGGGCCCCTATCTCACCTCAGCAAGCCGATACCTTTGACAATTCCTGTGTGTGAGAATTACGATGTCATTGGCAAATCAGTTAACAACAACTGGTGGCTAGGCCTGGCTGGCCAACTCAAGTTCAACCATTATAATGTGGAAATCACAGAGGGCCTGTGTATAGTGTACCTAGTGTCAGGTTATAACTGTACATATTATTTATGCTTACTTCCTTGGAAATTATTGACAGTATAGTAATAAGCATTGTTAAAAAATCTGCAAAACCAAATTGTGGTGGAAATGTGTGAAATACTCTGATGGTAGTATGATGACAAACTATGTTTCATTACTTTGTTGTTTAAGGTATCTAATAAAATGTGATTTATATGTGCCTATAATGCAATGCTATATTGTATTGTCAATCTCTGGGAGTCATCTAGAATGAATTAACCTTTAAGCCCCGGGTTAGGGTGCTGCTGGCAGTAACCCCCATGCTGGGATAAATCGAGGAAAAAAAAAAAAAAAGGGAAAATAGGCGGACTTTCTGGAACGTCACCCGGGGTCTAAGGGTTAACAACTCCCTTAAAAATACTTTTGGTTTCATTAATTTAATTGTTAATGGTATTTAAATGAAATATGACATTTTTTCTATCCAAACTTGCGACTTTGTTCCTGTGAATTTATTTCCATTCATCTAAAACTCAAATCCCCCACCCTCTCTTAAAATCCTGGATCTGCCCCTAGGTAAGGCCCATTACTGTGAATTCACTTTATTCTCCTCTTGCTGAAAATATAAGTTAGTATCTCTTGATGTATATTGTAGTTGGTCTCCTCTAGCTGTAAATTTAGATTACCGTAGTACAGTACAGTGGTCCCTCGGTTAACGAACACAATTGGTTCCACAGAGTCGTTCGTTAACCGAAAATTTCGTTAACTGAATCTATTATTTCAATGAGATATTGGGTAATTGATTCCAACTCACAGAAAAAGTACATACAAAGTACTCTATACTGGTAATAGAATTAACAAAACATTAAATATAAACTAAATACAGTACAGTATTGTACTGTACAGTATACTGTATAATAATAAATAAAAAACAATAGAATACTATATTTTAACTTAATTTGAGGTGTATGTTGTATTCCCGGCAGCTTTGTTTACATATCAAACAGCTGATTGTAGAGGCAGTTGATGATGACATGCCATATTCTTTACAGAGTGCATTGGTTCTAATGCCTTCTTCATGTTTCATAATAATTCCTGCACTGTATATTATCAATATGTGAACTAAATTTCAGAATGACCAATAATTTTAATGTAAAAATTAAAAAATGTTCAAGAGACCAACAAACTGGATGTTCGCTCCATTGTAAACAAAGTTAAACTGAGAAGCGTTGGTGGGTGATTCGATCAGCTGATTGGCACACAAAAACTGTTCCCTGTACTGTATATATTATCAATATGTTAACTAAATTAGAATGACCAATAATTTTATTATAAAAAATGCAAAAATATTCAAGAGCACAACTTTCTTGATATTTACTCCAATGGAAACGAATGTAAACATAGAACCAATGACTGTACTGTATTGGCGGACTAGCCGATCAGCTGATGCGCACAACAAAGCGTGTTTCTCGTAAGGCTTTTATTAATCGAAGTTTTGTTCGTTAATGGAATTGAAAATCCTTATGGGAGCTAATTCGTTAACCGAAATTTCATTAATTGGAACGTTTGTTAATTGAGGGATTTCCCATTGCCATAAGCTTAAATTACTATTCACCTAATGGAGACATGTATAAGTTGGTATTCTCTTGAGGTGAATTATTAAGTAAGTTTATATTATTACTATACCTTAAAGTATAGTGGTGTATAAGTGGATAATGTTAGTACAGTAAGTCCTCGCTTAACGTTGCGGTTACGTTCCTGAAAATGCAACGTTATACAAAACAATTTTCCCCATAAGAAATAGATAAAATATGGGAGTTATGTTCCTGAGCCCCCCTTTGCCCCATGAAATACATTACATATACAGAAATTCAATGGCATTTTTGTAGAAAAAAGTATACACTATATATAAAACTAAATCATTTTGTACAATATTGGTACTCACCGATGGGCAGAGGTGGTGGAGCAAGTGTGTGGTGGGTAGTGAAGTGGAGGAGGCGGACGGAGGGAGCAGAGGAAGAGGAGGGAGGAAGCGGAGGAGGAGAAGGGCGGGAGTGGTGGGTGGTGATTCCCTGAGATTCGCTGGCTGCCTCCTCCTCCCGCTCTGACTGGCATTCCTTCTCCATTTTCGTAGCAAGGGTAATGGTCTTATGTTGCCTCTTCACAACAATGGCATCAGTAGCACTTGATGGGCGCTTGGATGCTATTTCGAATGGTTACAGTACAGTATTAATAGCAAAAACACTTAAACACACACCAACGCTGTGGAAGCCTAATAAAGACTGGCATCACTTGGGGATGCTGTGACGTTCTGCGAATGAGAAGTACTGTAGTGCGCCGAGAGCGTAGCGCGGCAAGATGAGAGAGGGTGGTGTGCCGTAAAATGTAGTCCGTGACGACGCAAAAACACGTTAAATTGAGTTATCGGGACGTTAAATGAATTATTGGTATCTAAAGAGTAGCGACGTTGTACCGAAACAATGTTAAACGGGGCGATGCTATACGAGGACTTACTGTACAGTAATATCTCTGTTAGCCGGAATCCCTCAAACCTGGAACCCTCCAATAGCTGGAATTGAAATTTTCTCCGTAAATCGTTCCCAAAGCCGGAATTTTCCGACTTTCGGAACGATTTACCAAGGGGCACATTTTCCGGAAAATTTTCCCAATACCCCGAAAATTTAAGGAATGGGGGATTTTTTTTTTCTGGGGTTGAGAGATGAAAATTGGGCACATTTTCTGGAAATTCCGAGAAAATTTTTCCATTACTCGGAAAACTTCCGGGGATGAGGGATTATTTTCCAGGTTCGAGAGATGATGTAATGGGCAATTTTTGGAACTTCCGAGAAAAATTTTCCTTACCCGTCAATTCAATTCAGTGTACAGTGGTCCCTCGGTTAATGAACGGTTCGATTAACGAAATTTCAGTTAACAAATTACCTCCCATAAGGATCTTCAATTCGGTTAACGAACAAAACTTCAATTAACGAAATCCTTACAAAAAACATGTTTTGTTGTGAGCATCAGTTGATGGGCTAGTCTGCCAATTCAGTAATCTGTTCTATGTTTACATTCGCTTCCAGTGGAGTAAATATCAAGAAAGTTGTGCTCTTTAATATTTTTGCATTTTTTATATTAAAATTATTAGTAATTTTAAAATTTAGTTAACATACTGATAATATATAGCACAGTGCAGTGCTGATTTCAGTAAAATAATCTCGAATTACACCTAGTGAACTTAAAATTTTATTGGTGAAATCACTGCAACAAGCATGGGTCCCTGAAAGGTGATTTCTCCTCCATCCCCACTTCCTTCTCTTCTCCCTTTTCCTCCAACCCCACTTCTCATTCCCATCATCATTATCATCAACCAGGAACCTTCTACATACACACCTCAAAGTAAGTGTACCTACTTTATTGCATTTTTTTTTCTTTGTATGTACTTTTCTGTGAGCTGGAACCAATTACCCAATATCCCACCGAAACAATGGATTCGGTTCACGAACGACTCTGTGGAACGAATTGTGTTCGTTAACCGAGGGACCATTGTACTGGACATTGCATTATGAAATGTGTGCATCACCCATTGGCTGAACAGTAGTGTATATTTTTGTTGTAATGATGTGAATTGACCCTCAAATGGCAGCCATTATCAGTGGAAATTTCATGTTCCCTGCATTCTATTTTTATGCATATTGGGAGAGGGGTTAAACAATATCGTATACATATTGGTGGATTTTAAAATATTTCTTATGTGTTAAATATACCATGTGGGAAGAGAAACTGATAGGTTTCATACTGGGTGAAAGTGTGAATTGTCTGAATGTTGGGAATAAAGCACAAATGCGAGTTAAACGAACAAATTTGTGCCAATTATCCATTAGGGTACTTCAGTTTCTCACACCCTGGCTTAGGGGTGCATGACGTTAGACAAGGTCGAAGAACACCAATGTAGAAAACGTCATGGTCAAGCTGGCTCATGTAACACAGGACCATTCACTTACCCTTAATCAAAAGATAGAATTTTTTTAGTTATTCGATTTTGATGTTTTAGTGTAATTTTACATTTAATTTCTCACATCACTTTCTGATGGTGGATGTTTATCTGTTAACACATTTAAGGGATATATAATTTATTTTCCTAAATTTTAAAATCAAGTTTGTTTATTTATTTAATCCGTGTTTGTGTGTTTCAGCATGCTTGTTGTGGTACCGATGGCTACAAGGACTGGGAGCTTACAAACTTTGGTGTAGAGTATGCTGGAGTTCCTGATGATTGCTGCAGAGTAAACACTCACCTATGTGGACAGGACATGTTCAACAAATCTCCTCAGGAAGTAAGTTCCTGAAGTGTAAATTTTAGTGTGTATGATTTGGTGTCTTTCTTACAGCTATAGTGATTGAGCTTCTCGCATTTTTAAATGATTCTTCATTTATATCAATGTCACAAGGACCAAATTCATCTGTATACACCTGCATATCACACCTTTAATCTTACCTACATGTATTATATCCTGGGAACATCTCGTATGCCACACACAGTAAGGACACCACCAGAACACATGTTTTTTGTTTTGTTTTTATGGGGAATAGCCCACCCGGGCACAGGTCATCGAACCACAAAGGGAGCCTGGGGGGGGGGCAAAATAATAGGAGTAAAAAAAAAATCAGAGGAGAAAAAGACTATGTTAATCTACACCACGAATATGTTGGAAAACCATTTTTTTGAAGTGAGACAGATTGTAAGAGGATAAAACACACAAGAAGGAAGAGCGTTCCACAGTTTGGCTGTATAAGGAAAGAAGGATGCACTTGAGATAAATGTATAGTATATTATCAGGTGCTACTAAGAGAGCTCAGACACTCAATTGGATCAGCTATGTCAATATTATTATTATTATTCACGCTGTATCTGTAGTTTTTTGGCTAAATAAACTTTTCAATATCATGAACGAATTATTTTAGTGTGCACAACATCCACATAAAAATGGTGGGCACCGTGGGCAAGACGAGTGTTATGAGCCCACTGCCTTGCCAGGGGTACACAGGGTACCAAAGCCACCGAACATTGCACGTTAAAGTCCAGTCCCCTTTACTAGTGCTTTAACAGGGGCTCGTCAGGTTTTGGGCAGTGTGGCTGCTCTGTGTTTGTTTACATTCGATAAAGAAACTCGCAATAGTAAACATATTATAGAATCAAAGTAAAACAATATTAAAACAAATACCTCAAAGATAATTAATTGTGAATGTTTATATGATAATAATAATGATAATAATAATAATAATAATAATAATAATAATAATTAACGGTTTATTGAAAGAGCTTGGCAACCAGAAGGCTGAAAATATACAGTTACATATTTGGGGAATGGGTTTCGAATTACAAATAATATACAAGTAACATAAGTGATACATATAAGATATATAATAACTAGATGGGGAAAAGCTCAAACTACAGGGCATTTCAACATAGTGACAGTGCAAGAAGTAGTATTTACTGGGAGTGAATACACTGGTTTATTACAAGTTATTGATAATTTTTACAATGGTTGGGACTGGGCTGTTCTTATAGCGATCAGTTCGTGCACTTGTGGGCTGGATCGTTGTGGTGTCGAACAGCAATTCTCGGGCTAGGGATCTCAGGTGGTAGTAGGGCGTGTCGAGGATGGTGTAGAAGCTTCTTACCAAATTTGCAGATGAGGTCGTGGTGATGGTCAGTGAGAGTCGAAAGGGTCAGTGTGTTGAGTGCTTCTTGATATGTGGAGTAGGAAGGGGAGAGAATAATCTTGCATGCCCTCTTTTGCACTTTTTCTAGGTGTTTACATTGTGTGGTATTTAGGGAGGAAGACCAGGTAGGGGAGGCATAGGTGAGCTTGGGAAGTATGAATGTTGTGTAAACACTGAGGAGCTCGGGTGCAGGAACTCCGAGGGACTTGAGTCGGCGGAGGAGGTGGAGACGGAAACTGGAGGATTTGACAACTTCCCTGACGTGTGGTTTCCAATTTAGTTTGTTGTCTATGGTGATGCCGAGGAGCTTCATGGAATCTACAACCTGGAGTGTAAATGCACTAGTGAAGGGGACTGTACCTGTAAAAAAGAAGAGTGTGAAGCAACATTGCGGCAAAAAAAAGGGAAGAGAGTTTATAGACTAAAGGAGGAGAGTTAATAAGATGAAATCTAACAGTTGGACAGAGGAAGAACCACCTCAGATTTGAGAACAGAACTCAAGTTAGGATGAATGAATTCTTTATAAACCTGAAACTACTGCTCAGGATTGAAGTAGTTATGGCATCTGTCACATCTTGTGTGAAGATGTGTGTTCTGCATTACTCAAGGACTTGATTTCACCATTTTGCCATTGATAATTAATGGTTCTCCAAAGCATCCTTCAATTTTCTCAACAATTAAAAAACAATTAAGAGGAAGCCTAAGGTGATGTTGATGTTAGAAACAAAGTTGGAGTTATCTGTTTTGAGAAGTCTCGAGAATGAAAGCAGCTGCAGTGTTTGAAGGGATATAGCATGTGAATGGGCCATATATATATACTTCAAAGAAAAGTGCAGACATATTTGTAGTATTTTTAAACAGTCTAATGCATTTTCAGCCAAATTGATTACAAGATTGAGGAACAAGCATTAGAAAAGTTGGAAAAAAGGTTAGTTGAAGAGCAAGATAAAGTGTAAATACTGTACTGTAATACTAAACTATTTCTTCATTTATGAACAAGTGCTGAGGCTGTGTGAGCATCTAAAACAAAAACATGGTGAATCTTTAACTGATGATCGCCTTTTAGCAAGTAAGGGTTGGCTTGATGAGTTTAAGTTAGATTGACAGGTGAGGTTGACAATTCTGAATGTGGTGCTATTGCAAATTTTCCTGAGAAGTTTAAGACTATGGTGATGGTTGATGGACAAACTTGCATTTCCATAAGAGGAAAAAGTTACCCCCAGGGTTCTTAGCAGCAAAAGATCAAATGACACTTATTTATGTGACAATGCTGCCAGTAATTTAAGTACAGTACCTACAGGCCAATACTCATGAACCATTTTCAGAATTATTGCATTTAAATGTGCCATAGCCACCATACTCCACCTGTTGACTGGTAAGCCAGTAAAAAAGCCTCATGAATATGGAACCAGAGGAAAAGTAACAGCTAAGTAGAATGGAAAAACTTTTTCTTACCTTTTTATGGAATAGAATATGAGGGTACATTACAGTACTGTACAAGGGTATACTGTATGTAAAATGTGTATATTTTTTCAGGTTGATAAAGAGATTCACAAGGAAGGCTGCTTTGACAAGCTGAAGGGAGATGTGAAAGAGAATGTGACCATCCTGGGAGGTGTGGCCATAGGCATTGGATTTGTTCAGGTACTTTTATCATTTGTATATAAATATTTTCAACATATTTTACCATAAAACTCAGATTGTGTTTAAAATGCTTTGCAAACTTTGGTTTTTCTTTGTCATCTGTCTTTCCTTCTCTCTGTTTACAAAGCATAAGACAGTTGCAGAAAGGTGGGAGCCACACCTGCATTTGTCTTGTAATTTGGATGGATAAATTCAGAATATGAAATACAGTACTATACTGTCAACTTTAAAAAGAGGCAGAGTATTTTCAAACATGATCAAATTTAATTTTATAATAATAGTACTGTAGTGAAATAAAAAAAAATTAAAATCTTCATTTTCATCAAAGGAAAATACATACTTCTGATTAGGATTTTCTTTCATAACATTAAATTTCACAAGTGTTTTATGATTTTAGTGATGTACAATCACTATACATGTGTATACTGTATTCAATTATACGTATACTAGCAAATTTTACCACAAAAAATTCGAGCTACAGTAGGGGAGAAGGGATGTCTGTTAATGCTGGCAGTCCATTAAATCCAGTCATTTACTTCACCATTTACATTTGGTACTATACACTTGTGCTTTATACATACGATACACTTGCACTGTTTGCATATGATACACGTACACTGTTTGTATACTATTCTTATACGTACACTGTTTTCATATGATACTCTTACACTGTTTACATACTGTACAATACACGTTGTACACACAATCTTATATAATAACAATATCTGATACCAACTTATATATTAATTACCATTAAAGAGTACAGTAAACCCTGATTATTCACATATACATATACTGTACAGTATTAAAAAAATTTAATGCTTCTTTAAGAAATGAAACATTAATGCCATATTTAAGGTTCTTACACTAAGGTTAATGAGAAAATGTTGAATTAAAAACAAAACTTGAGGTAAAAACAACACTTTAACACAGAATGCAGTCAACAACAGAGTGGGAGAAGGATATCTGTGGGTGCCAACAAGCCTTGTGTTGACACAAGCAAAAATATTAGTGTATAGTAAATACTGTATTTAATAAGTTTAGAATGTGTTTTATTTATTATTGTACAGTTTTCATGTGATTGATATGTGCTTTTTTGTGTGCGTGTTTTTGTTTTTTAAGATTACACAACAAGTGTAACAGAACTTGACTGGCTAGGAAATGACCACTTCCCTTATTATTTTGATTTGTATTGGAATAATTCCTTCATTATTCATATAATCATTGTACATATTGACTTTTAATAGGAAACCATACCATATAAATAACAAGGACCCACTACTGTATATTGATATAAATTCCTGCTTTCCCATTTTGAAATGTTGCTGTCATAAAACATTTGACCAACTTACATAAAGGGTTTGGAGTCCACTGACTTAAAGGACAGGGTAACTAATCTTATTTATTTTTTTATTTCAGCTGATTGGAGTTGCATTTGCGTGCTGCCTGGCCAAGTCACTCAGGCGACAGTTTGAAACAGTGTAACTCCAAGTGGGAGCCTTTCCCCATACACTGGTAAAATCTCATCCTATATGAACTTGCTCGGACATTTGGCTCTCGTTTAGTGTTCATCATTCACTTATGCTTAGGAGACCAAGCTTCAGTGTTTTAAGGAGCTCATAAGATGAGATTTTTTTGTACTTGTTTGTGTGAGCAGTGTATCACCATTACTGGGTTGGGGTTAATTAGAAAAGTAACAAATGGAACATAAATAATTAATAAGTACCATAATTCTGATCTCTTTGAAGATATGCAACATCCTAGGTATAATTAAACAGCAATTTCAATACAGTTTAGCTATATGATATTGAACATCATGGTAAGAGTTGTTTGACTATGAGTGATCATGGTGCCTATCATTGTAGACTCAGTAACTCTTGGGCCAGTCATCCACCAGTGATGTGTCCGTCACTCTGGCAGGTGGCTGGCCTTAATTTGGCAAGTTTCTGGATGGCACAGGAAACATTGTGGAAAATGTATGAATTGCTTCATAGCCTTCTGTACACAAAACTATGAAGTGCTTGGACAAGGAAATATAATTAATTTGAGACTGCAGATGGAAGAAAATAAAGTAAACAATTGAAATAACAAATTTACACCCTATAAGATGCATATAATTTTAGAAGTGCAGTATTTCTTCAGAGGGAAGGCAAAATGCTCAATACCAATACTAAGGTTATAATTCTGAAGGCTTTTAAGTCACTGAATATACTTCAAGTTCCATCTGTAGTTTCAAGTGTAATTGTCATTCTTCAAGCAGTTCTACCATCAGTGGGCTGAGTTTACTACAAGATCAACTATCATGACTTGTAGATCTGAAGTTTTAAGGAATTGTTAATTTGAAGAAAAGTACATTTTTTTTTAATAACTGATCTACAAGTCAGAATATTTGGTGTTAACCCTACACATGCACAGTTTTATATTGAAAACTTTCTTCTTGTGCTGCAGCAGTTCTTTGAAAAGATGAGTAATAATTAAGTCTCAAGTTCAGTTTCAGTACTATTGCTTAACGAAGGCACACACACATGTACTAGAGATTGCAGTGATTTTTTTTTTCTATATCAGATATGTTTCTCTGAGTATTGTGAAGGTAGTTCAGAATGTATCATTTCTAGATCTTTATACATCCTATAAATACAAGCAATTCAGAATGCTTAATTTCTGATCTTTATATTTGAATATATAATCTTTTTCTTATTGCATTTGACGAATCCTTGTACTGTATAATTTTAGTTGGAGGAATTTTCATTTCTATAATTGTCTCATTCATAAAGCTCTCATGTTTTACTGTTATTTTTTTTATTACTTTGGTATATGTTTTTTACTGTATTGGAGAGGTAGTGTTTTAGCTTACAGTATTTTGTTTCCACAAATTGTCAACAAAAAGGGATTAAACTTATAAGAATTGTTGATGCATAAAATACATTGTATCTTAAAGGAGTAATGATTGTCACTGCACCTATTATTGAATCAATGATTACTGTATTTTTAAAGTTGCAGTCAATAAAATATAAAATGCAGTTACAGTATTACTGATATAATGATTATAATATTATGGTATAATGCTTACTGATGTAAGTACTGTACTGTACCTGCTATTGATGTAGTTATTACTAATGCACTTGTCATTTATAACTGATTATTTGTGTAATTATAATTATTTTTAATATTAGTACATTTGTTATTTATACAGTATTTGGGGTAACTGATTATTAAGTGCAAATACAGTTGATACTTATTAATCACACAAGTTTTCACTGAGACAGAGAGAGAATCATTACAGTAAATTTAAACTGATGATGACCACATTGTTTCATTAATCACTGTTAACAGAAATCTTTATAGATAATTTAATAATTGCTACTAACAAAATTAATGCTTTTAACAAATATTGTACAAAACAAAATTGATAGATACTTAATTATTGGAACAATGATAATACAGTGATGGTTGTTGATACGATGACAGCTGTCAATTGCATCGTTGACTTCAAGATTTATATTTTTAATCGGGGTTTCAGATACTGTATTATGATTATACGATATTTACAATGGAAATGTTGAATCTCAATGAGTAATATTTAAGAGCTTTATAGAGAACAGTGAAACACTAAGTGGCAAATTTAGGAAAACTAACCCAGCAATGTTTTGTGGTTCTTGTGTGTAGTTTGACCTTTTTGTTTTTAGAAATACAACAACAAAAATGAATGTATCCCCAAATTTTTGTGACTGTATGTAATTTTAATTTGTTATAACCTCATGTTTAGTTTCATCATTCCCAAGAGAAAACACTGCCTTAAATTAATGAGTTTTAAAAGGAGACACAAGTATTGATATAGGTTTAGAGGATACATATACAGTAGTAATTTACAGAAGAAGGTAAAGTATTGTTGGGTCAGCTTTCATGCCTCTATCCCTCCACTTCCGGTTGGTAGTTGCTGCTGTTATGCTTTACATTGGTGTTAGCATTGAGGAGCTGCTGGGAAGTTCTACCAACATCACAAGCTGATGATAGTTGTTTGTAGTGAAAACAACTTGCATCATAATAAGAACAGAATTAAACAGACTCCTTTTGGAAGTTGGCTAACTTGTATTGCGTCACGTAATCCTTGTGGAAGCAACCAATCAAACTGGGACTAAGAACCTTTTCCGTATTGGAGATGTGAAATTTGAGGTGGATGAAGTATGTGGTGAGGTTTATATTTTGTGGCTTATATGCTTGATGGAAAGCCTTAATATTTAAGGTAAATATATAAAGATTTAATGAGTGTGTCAGATCAGAGAGCAGCATAGTGTGGGCAGGATTGAAGGCAGGTGACTGTTTAGTGAGCTGTGAAGTTGTGGCTTCCTAATGCTCCAATAGTGGCAGACAAGTTATTCTTGTTTACAAATGTATAAAGCTTTCATATTGGCAGAGTAGCAGTATTTTGATATTTACCTACAGGATGGCTGGAAATGAGAGTTTAATATAAGATGTGCCAAATGTACACAAAAGAGAGACTGGCTTTTGTTTGGCTCTGGGCTATGTCCTGTTTGTTATAAATGGCACAAAAACTTCTTTTCCTTGTTATAACAAAGACAAGGAGCACATCTTTTGTAAGTCATATCATAGTTTGAATTTTTTGTAAAACTTCATCATGGCTAATAGCTCAGCTGCATAGTTAATTTTTGTATCTTCTGGAGAAATAGTTGTTGGGTACATGCCCTATCAATGCCATATTTTTTTATCTTTGTTTGTAACATGATCAATCATTTTGGTCTTTATGGAATATATACCCGAAGTGTATAATATTTACTTGACAATGTATTAAATAATTACCCCAGTTAACCAAATAAATGGCTCATAAAATGGCTGATCATGTCACATTTCCTTCGCATTCACGTGTGACTGTGGTGTACCTGTGGTGATGGTGTTTGAGTGGTTGCTAAGTTCCTGTTGAAGAGCTACCAGACTGGTCAAACTTGTGAAACATCATTATGCACATAATTGTGGAAATTTACTCATGGGAATAATATACTGTACCAACACTTTGTGCTTGTAATATAGTCAAGGCATAATCAGTGAAATATTTTAAAGTTATTCACATGATATTCTCTTCTGGTTGGTGGAAGGCTTTTACAAAATATTTAAATGGTTTAGAAGTGTGTGCCAGTCTTGGTGTGTTTTCACAAAAGTACCCCGAATTTTACCCAAGTTAACTACTCCTTGTCTTTCTCCTTTCCTCCACCCTCTCCTCGTCTTCTGCATTTCTGCTCTTAGAAAATTTACTTCATCCTTTCTCAATTAATCCCATAACTACATCAGTCTATTCTTTACTCTATATCTGAACCCAACTTCTCTCTCTATCTCTCTCCCCAACTTTCTCATATCATTTATTCACTAAAAGTTTCCTAAATTTCTACATCTTAACCTAAACCAACTCTGATTTGACCCTGTGGAGCAGCCTCCTGTACCTTGATATAGCTGCTCCCCTGTAATATTCAGATGGATCATTGCTTCACTTAGTCAGAGCACCTGGACTGTTGTTGTCATGCCAACCAGAGGACAACTTCCGCAACTTAATGCTGTGGTTCTGTCAATAACATGGGCAATGTACGTCTCCCACCACAGACAGCTTTTGGGCCTTAATGAGTAATTGCTGTTAGTATTTTTAGTTTGAAAGTGTGTCTCATTCATTTGGTAAGGGTATAGCTAGGATCATCTGCTCATGTCTACATTTTGTGATTGCAATTCTTGTATAAAGCTGTTGTCCTGAGCTTATGTAGATATCAAAATATATATTTTTAGTTAGATCTTGATAAGAGAGAGGAAGGAGAACAGATATATATATATATATATATATATATATATATATATATATATATATATATATATATATATATATATATATATATATATATATATATATATATAATATATATATATATATATATATATATATATATATATATATATATATATATATATATATATATATATATATATATATATATATATATATATATATATATATATATATATATATATATATATATATATATATATATATATATTATATATATATATATATATATATATATATATATATATATATATATATATATATATATATATATATATATATATATATATATAATATATATATTATATATATATATATATATATATATATATATATATATATATATAATATATATATATATATATATATATATATATATATATATAATATTCCTCTTTCTTTGTTGATGTAGTAAAGCAAGTGATGGTGTTATAACTACACTTGTCTATTTTGATGGTTGATGTGAGGTTGTGCTGATCAGCATTTCCTGTCCAGCTACATTACAACAATGAGATTTGAAGAGCTCTTTTAAGAAAGCTGTTCATCATCCATCTGAAAGGATGAATGAAGATATAACAAATATATTTTTTTTTTATTAGGTACAGGTAGTAGAGGTAAAGGTAATGCTGTTTTGCATAAATCAGCACACTGTAAATTGGCACTGTGCTCTCCTCTTTTGTACATCTGCATTTGTAATGGGAATGGCCCTTCCTATATTAACCAGTGCTTGGGATGATGTGACAGCAATAATCTTTATCTGGATTGAAGGAAAAAATATAGAAGTATTTTGAACCTTTGCACAATCGCACTTGTGAAATCTATTTTGCACCTTATTAACCTCTGTACAGTTAGCAGCAGCTTTTGAGTTACCTTGAAGAACCAGAAGCCAACAGTATTACGGTAATGCTCGTGGATAATAATGATCACCTTATAATCATAAATACAGCCACAATGATAAAAATCTTTCTTTGGCTTAACTCCTTCAAGGTCTCTCACCCTGCAGGGAAATGCTGCAATTATGTTTTAAAATATTTGGATATTTATACCTTATAATGTCATGGAAATCAATAATAGAAATTTGTGGAAACAATAAAATTGATTCAGGGTATTATGCATGGTTTTATTTAAAACTTTTACATACATCTGACACTTAATAAGCGGTTTCATTCACACCACCACCACCATCCACCCAGGTTACTCCAACAACCCTCTCCAATGTAACTCTGGTTTTTCTAATATTTTGGGCAATATTGTTGTTTTCTTTTGTCAGATATGGCAAGAACAATGTCTCGTGGTCTTTTGGATGACCTGACATTGCAGAATTAAAACAAAAAACACAAGAAATCTCTCACATTTGAAACAACCACGGTGTTGACACCTGAACTTACGTACAGCTGTACTTAACCTTAATTTTTTCAATACTTGTATTATTAAATACGTTCCAAGTTTTTTGGGGGGCCATATATAGCAAGATAAAGGTCTCGCCTTCCTGTAGATACTGTACACCTGTACCTGGATATCGACAGACATTACAGAATTAAGGAGATACAAAAAAATATGAACTCTTCAAACAATTTCTTGGCTAGTGACCAATTAAGAGATGGGACACACAACTCGTTTCCAATACCAAAGGAACTAGTACGAATCGGACATGACATTTCCTGGGTTTATATAGCAAGGACTAGAATGCTTGAACATTGATAATTCAACACACACCTGCATCTGATTTTGCCATTGGAAGTTGTAGGGTTGGTACAGTGTCACCCTAAATTTCGTTAACTCTTCCTGCCAGCTATTGGTACTGAGAGTTTCAAACATCTGAAGTCGGCAGTGCAGCAATAGCTGGCTGGGAGAGTTGATGAACTTTTGGGTGAGACTGTACAGCCCATGGATACAGAGGATTACTTTTTCTTGGTGAAGCTTTTAACTGCACTTTCTTTACGTTGTACTCAAGTCTGTAATCACTTTCTTTGAAGTGGAGAAAAAAACCAGGCAAATTTGGTGCTTGTTTTTCAGTGCGCTTGCGGCCATTTATCGCAAGTTTTCTTATCTCTGGGAAATCTGTAATATTTGATGTGCTCTCTGCTTGGCATTTGAACACTGCTGGTACACCTGTATATTGGACAAATAACCATAATTGACATATTAATTGTTGATATACTGGTCTCGGAAGCAGACGCGGGCACACTCGGAGCTCACCAGATGATCAGTGTTTACAAGTTTTGTCAGACTTGTGCAAGGTGTGGGTAAAACAAGTGCTTGGTGAACTATACTTACTAGTATATGATTCATGGTGACGACGGCAACCACTTCATTTAGACGGTGGATGCTACCTCAGTTCAATCTCCGTCAATATTAAGGAGGTCCGTATCCCCCACCGGCTGCCTCTCCCTCCACACCACTGCCTCCTCTACTTGTTCCTTCACCTAGTCCTCCACGTGTTCTTCTACCTTTTCCTCCACACTACCGCCTCCTCTACTTGTTCCTTCACCTCCTCATTCACTTGCCAGGGATGTAATTACCACAATCAATCAGTTAATCTTCCTCACTTGTTCCTCCTACACAATACTTGTTCCTCCACCTTCACTTTCTCCATACTATCACGTTCGTCACAACTATCACCCAATAAGGATCTAAAGTCATAGTCTTTGCTAAAACACACTCTTGTTCGTCTACTCAGCCAAAAACAACAACTCCATACACGGAAGAAAGAACACCGTGTTTTGCAAGTAAATTGGCCTAGCATTTTCTGATAGAAAAAATTAAAACAACATCTGGGTGTCAATAGACTCTACTAAAGTATAGTTATAAATTATATAATCTAACGTGACTGCAAAAACGTGGACCCAGATCCATTCGCCATCTCTGACAAGGATTGGTCAAATCACTCGAACGACATCAAGAGGCTACGGCCGCTACACAACATTTAGAACATAAGAAAATAAGGCGTCTGCAATAGGCCACTTGGCCTGTGCATGGCAGCTCCTGTTGAGAGTTACTACCACTCTCTATCATCCATGAATCTATCTAGCCTCCTTTTAAAACTTTCCAGTGTCCCAGCACTTACTACAAAGTTGTTAAGCTTGTTCCACTCGTCCACCACCCTATTTGTGAACCAGTTTCTTCCTATCTTCCTCCTAAACCTAAACTTATCCAACTTAAATCCGTTGCTCCAAGTCTTATCCTGCTCGGATATTATAAGAACTTTATCTATATCCCCTTTATTGATTCCTTTCACCCACTTAAATACTTCTATCATATCTCCCCGCACTCTTCGTCTTTCTAGGGAATGCAAGTTTAGTTTCCTTAACGTATCTTGATATGGAAGGTTTCTAAGTCCTGGAATCATTTTCGTCATTCTTCGCTGCACCGACTCCAGTAAATTGATATCCATTCTATAATAGGGGCACCAGAACTGAACCGCATAATCGAGGTGCGGCCTAACTAGCGCAAGATATAGTTGTAATAAGACCTCTGCACTCTTATTACTTACACTTCTAGATATAAAACCTAATAATCTGTTTGCCTTATTTCGAACATTAACGCACTGTTTTCTCGGCCGTAGGTCCGGACTTACAAGTACCTCTAAGTCTCTTTCACAAGTCGACTTCTCTAGGATTGATGTTGGTTAAGGCTGTATACTTTGACAGTACTTGTTCTTCCAATATTAAGTACGCTGCACTTACTTTTACTTTTATCCTCTTCACCACTGATCGGCTCGCTAGCCGCCCGAGCGATCGGTCACGTCTCTGTTACGCCCTGTTGGCAAGTACTGGGCATGCACCGGCTCCTGAATGTACCTGAACCTGCCCCAGTGTTGGTCAAGTCTGGTCTTGAAAGAGCTCACACTCGGTGCCGTCAAAACACTTTCTGGTAGATTATTCCAAGAGTTCACAACTCTCACTCCGAAAAAGTTGGCCCGTACAGTTTTCTGGACTTGCGGCTTCTTCAATCTTGAGCTGTGACCCCTTGTGGGGCGAGCGTCCGCCAGCTCCAAGTAAGGACAATCGACTTCGGGCTTCAGAACTTTTTCAATAAACCGTCAATTATTATTATTATTATTATTATTATTATTCAATGTAAAATACTCAGATTGCTGTCTGACATTTTATTTAGGAAATCATTCAAATGCATATTTTGGTAAATTAGGTAGGCACAGTAACCTCCATGTGATTTGACATAATAAGATTTTATTTCTTAACCTTGAAAATAATAAAAATAAAAGTAAAAAACTTCTGAAACTGAATGAAAAGTTTTCTAAATATACGCAACACACAAACACATATTCATATTTGTTTGGACTTGGACCAGGAGTTGTAAAGATTGAATCTCTGGACCCGAAGGTAGAGTGTGAACCCGGCCGCCTGGCCACACAACACAAGGCCAGTCGCCATACACGATACAACACGACAGTGCGTTTTGTAGTGAGTGGATTACCAAGTATAAAAAGTCACTCTACTTGCTGTGTCAGTAGGTAAGTATTCCCGATGATTGTCAAATATATACTTAGGCACATTTATGTACATGTATTAGTAATGTATCCTCTTGTTGGCTTCGTTGTTAGGTGTTTTAGTGCAGTGTGTGTAGGGAGACGCGATAAGGTGGTCACGTGGAGGTCGTGTGCACAGGACAAAACCATCCTTTTGGTTATCCAGCGAATTTTAGGAAATTAGGTTAGGTTAGATATAGTTCCTGAATTTTGTGGCTAGATTAGGTTTGCTTAGATATAGTTTCTGGATTTTGTGGCTAGATTAGGTTTGCTTAGATATAGTTTCTGGATTTTGTAGCTAGGTTAGATTAGGTTAGGTTGGTTAGGGTTTGGTTACTTAAGATTAAAATCATTCAAAGCACGTCCCT